ATTTATGAGCCCACTTGCTTTGTTTTTGCCGGCATTATACAGGGCAGACAACACTGGCTAAATGTTGCCAGTTCTCGCTTGCTGTTGCTAGGGGGCAGCATTTACTTAGCAGACAGCTGCAGACAAGTACATTGCCAAGTCAGGCTCACGGATCACGTTTGTGATCCGGAGAATACTCCGAACATGTATGACATTTTATTGATTTCCAGCTTCTAACTTGAAACTGTGAAATAGCTGAGACTACATATGTTTTTGTGTTTATAATGAAGTATTTCAAAACTTAGAACCATTCAAAAATAAAATCTGTTATTCAAAATTATCTTATTCCAATATCCCATGCATAGCAGATGCTATTTTAAACTATACTAGTAGCTTGAGAAATTGCTTAATACAAAAGATATGAATTCAGCTGGGCCTCATGGAACAAGTCTGTCATCCCAGCTACTTGGGAGTTTGAGGCAAAAGATTCAAAATTTCATAGCTTTTCTTTGATACAGAGGGCCTTCAGTTTGGGAGCAGCCTAGACAACTTAGTAAGATAAGTCTGAAAATAAAAATTTAAAAGAAGGCTAAGGATATACTATGCTTTCCTGGCCTTGGATTCAATCTCTAAGTCCAAGACATCTCCCTCAAAAAAAAAAAAAAAAAAAGGAAATTAAAAAATAAGAATTTTAAAATAGAAAAATGGAGAAAGAATAGAGGAATTATGCTTTACATAGTATCATTCTATCTCCCTGGTCTTAATTTTATTGGTAAGAAGTATCTGGTGCTAGTAACTATACCTCGGGGTCTCTGAGTTATCTTAAATATGTTCGTTGAATCTGGATTATCACTTTTCTAATATCATTGGAGTAATCTTCACTCTACTAGTTTTAAACCCTTTAAAAGTAACTGTTATCCAAGTATGTGTCTATGAAAGTAGATTTGATGATGTTTCCAGTGCTCCTGTATTTAATATGAAAATATTCTTCCCAGTAGTAGTCAGAGACTGGGTCCTTTCTTCATTCTTTCATGCTGTTTGAAAGTACCATCTCGGGAGCATTTGATTCTAGATTCTGGATATCTCTATTTTATATTTCCTTCATTGTTTAAACAAATATTTGGGTGCCTATTATATGCTATGTATTATTATATCCCCTGGATATATTAAAGGGGTAAATACTACAAACACCTGAGCCTTCACATTTTTGTAGAAAACAATGACATCATGAGGTTTGCAGACAAATGGATGGATCTAGAAAAAATCATCCTGAGTGAGGTAACCCAGACTCAGAAAGACAAACATGGTATGTACTCACTCATAGCAGGATACTAGATGTGGAACAAGGATGACTGGACTGCTACTCACATCACCAGGGAGGCTACCTGGAAAACAGGACCCCAAGAAAGACACGGGGATCGCCCAATGACAGAGAAATGGATTGAGATCTACATGAACAGCCTGAACATGAGTGGGGGTAGTGAAAGGCGAGGGTCGAGGGAAAGAGAGCTTGGGGGAGCGGGAGATCCCAGCTGGATCAACAACAGAGAGGGAGAACAAGGAACAGGAGACCATGGTAAATGAAGACCACATGAGAATAGGAAGAAGCAAAGTGCTAGAGAGGCCCACAGAAATACACAAAGATACCCACACAACAGACTGCTGGCAATGGTCGAGAGACAGCCCGAACTGACCTACTCTGGTGATGGGATGGCCAAACACCCTAATTGTCTTGCTAGAAACCTCATCCAAATACTGAGGGATCTGGATGCAGAGATCCATGACTAGGCCCTGGGTGGATCTCTGCGAGTCCAATTAGTGAGAATTAGGAGGGTTTATATGAATGAGAATTGTTGAGACCAAGGTTGGATAAAGCACAGGGACAAATAGCCAAATGAATGGAAACACATGAACTATGAACCAATGGCTGAGGGGTCCCCACTGGATCAGGCCCTCTGAATGGGTGAGACAGTTGATTGGCTTGATCTGTTTGGGAGGCATCCAGGCAGTGGGACCGGGTCCTGTGCTCATTGCATGAGTTGGCTGTTTGAAACCTGGGGCCTATGCAGGATTGCTTGGCTCGGCCTGGGAGGAGGGGACTGGACCTACCTGGACTTAGTCTACCAGGTTGACCTCAGTCTGTGGGGAAGGCTTTGCCCTGGAGGAGATGGGAATGGGGGTGGGGGGTTGGGGGAAAGGTGAGGGGGACGGGAGGGGGGAGAACAAGGGAATCCGTGGCTGATATGTAGAACTGAAGTGTATTGCAAAATAAAAAGAAAAAAAGAAATACATGATAAAGAGATAAGTAATGGGACTAGAGAAGTGGCTTGGCAGTTAACTTTTGCAGAGGACCCACATTCTTTTTCCAGTACTTATATGGTGGCTCACAATCCTGTGTAACTCCAGTTTCAGGGGATCTGACTCTCTCCCCTGGCCTCCAGGTACTTGCATGGTATACATGATACATCCTGGCAAAATTCTCATACATGAAATATTTTTAATATATACCAGAGATGTTGCAGGATTATCCACTGTAAATGGAGCACAATGAGCAAGCATGAGGTCACGTGGTAGGATATGGAGGGAAGAAGACTGAGTATTACAGATACATCATCACCACTGACTTTATTTTAGCACCACAAAGAAACAAGATGGTTTTAATAGAATAGTGATCCCTAATATAATTTCATAACAAGATCATTCTGACACCTTGCTGGCTGAAATCCAAGAGCAGGGAAGGATAGAATGCAGTAGGTTTGTCATAACTGTGGAATAAGCAGGGCATGAGATGGTGGTGGCCTGATCTGGATGTTAGCAGTAGAGGTGGTGAGAAGTTCTCACTACACACAGATAAGTATTTTGAAGAGAGAACAGCAAGTCTGCTCGTGGCCGATACAAGGTGTTTAAGAAGAGAGGCGTCAAGAACGATTGCAAAATTGTTTTTTATCTTAGCAAGTGGTGCTAAGTGCTTAAGTGCTCTTAACTTAAATGTAGATGTAGAAACGTATGTTTGGAGGTACAGAGTTTGGAGGAAGTTTCAAGAGCTCAAGTGAAGAAAGAGAGAGTGAGAGAGAAAGACAGATAGAATAGATATTTTGAAATGTATGTTTGGAATTTATGGGAAAGGGCTTGGAGTAGAGTTGAAAATTTGCCAGTCTTCATACTACAATCAGTATTTGAAGAAAATAGAAAAAAAATAAAGTTTCTAGGAACTGAACTGTAACAGTACTGCGTTTAAAAACCAGAAGGATGAAGAGAAACTTCGGGGTGCGGGGAGAAGCAAGCACACAAACAAAATGGATAAGCAGCAGTGAAAAAAAAAAGTTAGAAGAAAACTATATCAATGTGTTGTCTAGAAGCCAAGTAAAGAAAATGTGTCCTCATAAAGTGGGTGTGGTCAACAATGTCTGACCTTTTGGAGTGATTAAAAAAAAAAAGGATTAACAGAGATTTAGCAACATGGAAGCCATCAATGGCCAGGGCAACAGTTTCTTTGGTGGATACAGTCAAAAACCTGACTGGAATGAAATGAGAAACTATGAAATGAATAAATGCTGCTCTTTACTCTCAGCTCCATAGATCTTAGAGCTATGACTTACCTGGTCACTGCCTGTCCTGTGTGTCTGCTAACAGTCTTGGCTTGTCTCAAGTGTTCAGTCCTATTTGTTGAATAAATAAATAAATAAAAGAGTGAAGTAACCTTTACCCACAAGAAAGTTCCCATCTTGGTAAAATGAGGCCAGCAGCTTCTGCAGCTTTGCCATTAACACCCTAGCTTGTAGCTCTGCTGTTGTACCACATAGCTACAAAGCATCTCAGTCTCTTTGACATGTCTGGTTCCTCTGCAGAAGTACAAAACATTTTATGTTGGGTGAATGAACAAAAGTGCTCAGAATGAATTATACAAAGCATGTGATAATAAGCACTAATAAAATTTGACCAAAGATTCTTAATGAAAAACAATTGGCTCTCATCAAAATGATCAGCAGTAATATAATTGATGTTATGTCCTTAAATTAAATCACCCTTGTGTTTTTAAATTTAAATTAAGATATAGAACTTATACTTTGTTAGATCTTATTATTTTTTATAGTGCAAACTAATTGCTAGGAAGCCACATATCTATCTGAGCTTTCTTGTTTACATTTGCAACATCTCTGGAAAGAAGTCTCAGCCTGTCAGCTTAAGTCAGAGATGATGTAGAAATCAATGTTCATTGTTTTGCTATAGTATTTATATTTTAATAAACTATATAATTTTACTTTTAGTTCTTGACTGGCCTTTGATAGTGTACATACTCTTGTGTATACAATGCCAAGATGGTATGCTACTCCCCTCATAAATTTATAATTGATAGGTGCTGAAAGGATATTTATCTAAGAAGGTAGTCTAAGCCTTTGTTTAATTGTAGCCTGTATTCACTCACAAATTATCTTTATTTTTAAGACTTGCTATTAAGAGTTCCAGTCCAAGAACAGGAGCAGATGAAATGAAATGCCCAGCCCAAGTAGAGAGGCAGAACAGAAAGGGGGCATTAATTCTTCCTGAACTCTCCTTCTCCAGGATTCTTAGTGGACTGGATGATGCCTACTCACACTGGGAGGGCAATCCACTTAGCACTTTTTCAAAAGTTAGTTCCACCTAAAAGCCTGCTCAGAGACACAACCCAAAATAATGTGTAATCCCTAATCTGAACATCCTAATATTCTGTCAATTTAACATGTGAGATTAACTATCATAAGGAACTTTAAAATCTGAGAAATAATTTTTCTACAGCTAAAACCTATGCACTTAAAATTTATTTACTATTACTGCATTTGGTTTGGCCATGGCCATAAGCATACTCATTGGTAAATATAATAATATATTCGTGATAATAACTATAGTTACCTGCATTCTTTCATATTTTATTAAGTGGAATAGAACAAAACAGTGTTTTAAACCATTAAGTTTGGTGATCATTCTAATTATGCCTTTTACTTTCTCTTCGTCCATGTCCTGTGCTCCTGGTCCACTTACAGCTCTATGCCATCCCTTGGTTTCTTACCATGTTCACTCGTAAGTACTATTTCTTCTGCAGTGTTATCTAAAGCACAGCCTCATTCTTCCTCAGAATTCTAAATTTATGAGAATATTAAATAAATGTATTGTGCATCTTTATAAAATTTTAACATGATGTTGTTTACAGACAGTAATTTCAACTCTTCTGGCTTTAAAAATTAAAAAGACATTGAAAAGGATTAAAATCTATTTTGCATGTCATATACAGCTTTATTCCTTTTTAAGAAGAGAATTCAACATCAACTATAGAATTTACATCATGTTTTTGAGTCCAGTTTTCAGCTGAATTGGCTTTCTAGATGTTCTCTATTAACTCATGGTTTTATTTCCTAAACTGGGAATCCTCTAAAAATTAATCATGTTATGTGACTATGTAATGCTTTAATCAGTTACTATACATTTTATCAGTGACTATAATGGACAGCCATGCTTAAATGCAGTACACAGGATAAATGAAATAACATTTGAAATAGTGTAGAAAGATATTCACAGTACTATAAAGTGAGAAAGAAGTTACATTTTTTAATTAATAGAATTTTGGTGGGAATTTAATAAAACAATTGTTTATGATACACAATGAAAATATTATCTTACACATAAAGCAATTCTAAAGTTCAACTATAGATATAAACTTGTGTAGATAATGTTACTAAAAGAAATTCTGAATTGGATAAATATACTAATTATTAATGGGAGTCAGAAAATGTAATGTCTGACCCATCTGATAATAGTTTACTAAAGGGCCTTAGGAAGCTGTAAGTTAACAGAATCAGGGGCTAGAGAGTTGGCTGAGTAGTTAAGAGAACTTGCTGCTCTTGCAGAGAACCAGTTTGGTTCCCAACACCCATATTGGGTGGCTCACAGCTACCTGTAATTCAAGCTCGAGGAGGTCTAATGTTCTCCATAGACCCGCAGACACTTGCATGCATGTGCACACACATACGCACCCAAACACACACACACACACACACACAAATAAAAATCCTTTAAAAAAATTTACAGTCAAGTGTAGCATGAATCTTAAAGGTACTTATTAATAAAATCAAACCTGAGGCCAGATATTGGGGTGAATGCTGGAAGATCAGAGAAGCAGAACAAGCCACAACTAACTCACCTTGACAATTCCTCAGCTGATCCTGTTTCCTCATACTGGAAGCCTCTGAGTCCTTATCCAGAATGAATCTCAGCTGAACTGCGCTGCTCAAAGCCTAAAAGCTTAACCAGCCTAGTTCCTGGTTTTCACACCTTATATACTTTTCTGCTTTCTGCCATTACTTCCTGGGATTAAAGGCTCACTTCTTGGGATTAAAGGCGTGTGTCACCATGCCTGGCTGTTTCCAATGTGGCTTTGAACTCACAGAGATCCAAACGGATTTCCTAGGATTAAAGGTGTGAGTGCCACCATTTTCTAGGCTCTGTATCTAGCGGCTTTTCTGTTCTCTGACCCCAGATAAGTTTATTAGGGTGTACAATATTTTGGGGAACACAATACCACCATAGTCAAGCATTTTATCAGCACAGTTTAACATTTTAGCTCTTAAAATTAACAACCTTGACCTTGAAGTAATAATACTCGTATATATAATAATGCAGCTATTATATTTTTTATAAATTTGGTTTTTGTTTAAGTACATTTTCTAAACTCTTTCTACAGATGTATTTCCACTGCACAAAATTTTCCACCTCTGGGATACATTACTACTTGGAAATTCCTCTTTCCCGTTCTGTATTGGAGTAGCCATCCTCCAGCAGCTGCGGGACCGGCTTTTGGCTAATGGCTTCAATGAATGTATCCTTCTCTTCTCTGACTTACCAGGTATGTAGCTAAATGAAGGAATCGCTTCATGCAGTTTTGACTGTAAAATAATGAGCTATCTTAGCCGTTTGAGAGAATCATCCAGCCTTCAGAATCTCTTCTGCTTGGACCCTGTTTTCACTGTCAAGATAATCAGTGCTTTTTGCTAGCTCAAGAATGCAGAAACTAATGTAGGTCATACTAAGCCACTGTGGATTATTCCCATCACAGTAATACCACTAAAAGGGTAAAAGATCATGGCTGTGGGGGAGTAGCATATTTACCCTTTGCTTAGGACTCAGCCATTTATCTTCAGCTGATGGAGAGTAAATAAAGGCCACTCAGGAAGGTGTTTGAGAATGTGTTTATATAAGGATGGTATTCACATGGAACTTTGCTCCCTCCTAGCCACAGCTGCTTGGTAACAACTTGACAGTTTAAGAACAGGAATCACTGTCCTTTTAGGAAAACAAGTCAAACTCTATAGAAATATATTATGTAATAGAAGATAGTGACTAAGCTGTGTAACATTTTCACAAGGGGAAGTTTGAAACCCTTGGGCCGAATGTTTCAATGAAGAACTACAGAAGACAACTATGGTTTGATTCATGATGCTGAAAAGATAGTCTATGTGGCTACCTAAGATGTCATATATATGTAAAGTGTGGAAAGCTACTTTGTGAAGAAACTCAATGTTTTTAAGATACAAAATTTGGGCTGAAGAGAAGACTCAGCAATTACAAGCACTTGTTGCTCTTGCAGAGGACCCAGGCTTGGTGTCCAGCACTGGCTAACAGATGCCTAACAACCATCTGTAACTCTAGTTCTAAAGGATCCAATGCCCTCCTCCTGCCTCTGTGGGCACCAAGCACACATGTGGTGCACATACACACATGCAAACAAACACTCATAAACGTAAAATATAAAATAAGAATAAATAAATCTTTTTTTAAAAAATACAGAAATTTTACTTTTTCACAGCAGATTTCTGGTACCATGTTTTTTGCTGGTTCTACTGCTGCCCTCCATATTTTCAGACAAGTACAAGGATGTAATAGCAAGCACACTTAAAACTGTCCATGATAAAGTCCCTGAACACCAAACAAAGGACTAGTGATCCTTTTAAGATTATGAATTTATTAGGCACTTTCAATAGAAATAAGGAATCTGCTATCTACCTTATATTTATATTTAGTGGATATATTTTCTACTCTACCATCTTTCTGTTAAAGGTCTTCATTTTTTGAGGAAAAAAATAACAAAATAAAATGCCTTGCAATAATTTAAAACTCCCCCTTCTTACTATTTCACAAATTAAAATGTCATCCAATTCATCAAATTTAATTAAAATAAGTTATTTCTTATATTAACAAATAATAGTTATGGGTTTGATTTTTTTAATTTTTTTTCTGGGAGATGGTCATAATCAAGGTTTTGTGGGGTTTGGGAAGTTGGTCTGAATAGGAACAAAGAAGCAAATTTCACAAACTCAGAAGCTGTCTGTGCCCCACAGATGTTTTCTTGTCATCTCCAGCTTGCCAAAGTAAACAGGGGATGATTGATTAGGATTAAAAGATTTTTTTGGTTAGTTATAAAAATAAGCATATTAGAAATGCTGATTGTGCATTTTCAAATCAAGTAAATGTAGCTGCTTTCCTCCCAAGCATAAGTGTTCCCAGAAGGCCATACCCACTCCAACAAAGCCACACCTACTAATAATGCTTCTCCCTATGAGCTTATGGGGGCCAATCACATTCAAACCACCACATTCCACTCCCTGGTCACCATAAACTTGTAACAATATCATAATGCAAAATGCATTTAGTCTAACTTCAAAAGTCTCCATAGTTTATCATAGTCTCAACAATGTTTAAAAATCCAAAGTTCAAAGTCTCTTTTGAGATCCATGCAATCTCTTGTCTATAATACCCTATAAAATCAAAATCAAAAAACAGATCACGTACTTCCTGGTGCTCCTTTTCTCCTCAGATTGTACATTTTGTATTTTTCCATGTTCAACTTGTTCCTTTTCATTATAAATCTGTATAAGAGTGACCAGTAATAACCACATAACAAACTCAATACTAGGCTGTTTTGAGATTTTCTCTTCCAATAGAATCTGAATCTCTTCACTTTATCCTCAGGCAGACTCTTTGGACAAGGGCAAAAGACAGCCACTTCCTTCACCAAAATATCACAAGGATAATCTCTAGGCAAGATATTAAAGTTCTCCTCTGAAACCTCTTGAACCAGGTCCCTACAGTTCAAATGTTCCATGCTCCTCCTAGTATTGCCCATTAAGCAGTGCTTAAAGCATTCCACTGCTTTCCTAACTCAAAGTACCAAAGTCCAAATTCCTCCAAACAAAAACATGGTTAGGCCTATCACAGCAATACCCCAGTCCCTAGAACCGACTTCTCTCTTAGTTAGGGTTTCTGTTGCTATGAAGAGACACCTTGACCATGGCAACTCTTATAAAGGAAAACATTTCAATGATGGCTTACAGTTTCAGAGGTTTAGTCCATTCTCATCATGATGGGACATGACAGCAAGTAGGCAGACATGGTGCTGGAAAAGGAGCTGAGAGTGGAAAAGGAGCTACATCTTGATCCCACAGGCAGCAAGAAGTGGTCTGAGATACTGGGCAAAACTTGAGCATATATGAGATCTCAAAACCCACCCCTACAGTGACACACTTCCTCCAAAAAGGTCACACCTACTCCAGTAAAGCCACACCTCCTAATAGTGCCACTTTATGAGCTTATGGGGGCCAGTTATATTTAAACCACCACACTCACCCAGATAAATTGTTTTGTTATTTAAGAGGTTATGTTACCTGTAAAAATAAGAAAATTCCTTCTTCTAAGTCATAAATCCAAGTTCAGTACTCTGTCCCTACATGCCAGTGTGTGGATGGTAGGCACCATTCATTATACTTGAATAGATACCAGAAATCACGTTTCTACATACTTTAGAGTGCTCTAGCTTTTCTGTGTTCTCGTTATCCCTCTCAATAGTTGCCACTTCACTCCTGAACTGATGTTATTATACAAACTTCAAATAAATAAGCTCATATTTCAAAATAAGTACAAATTTGAGATTTTTAACTGATGGATATTTTAACTATTAAAGGTGTTTTTGAAGGGCTGGGTATGTAGCTCAGAGATAGAGCACTTGTGTAACATGAATTGCCAAACAGTCTTATTAATAAAAAACCCAAGCCTGATATTGGGGTGAAAGCTGAAAGATCAGAGGGATAGAACAAGCCACAGCCAACCTCACCTTACCAACTCCTCAGCCCAAGAGAACTACTTCCTGTATACTCACACCTTATATACCTTTCTGTGCCCTGTCATCTTACTTCCTCTCTCCACCCAGCTACCTCACTTCCTCTTTCCGCATGGTTCTATCACTTCCTGTCTGTCTGTATAGACCTCCAGACCTCTATGGTTAACTAGTTCTGGGATTAAAGGCCTGTGCCATCACTCCTGGCTCTGTTCCCAGTGTGGCCTTGAACTCAACAGAGATCCAGATGAATCTCTGCCTCCTGAGTGCTAGAATTAAAGGTGTGTGCTACCACTGCCTGACCTCTATGTTTAACATAGTGGCTGGCTTTTTCGTCTGATTCCAGGCAAGCTTTATTTGTTAAAGCACAAGTAAAATATCACCACACACTTGCCTAGTATACACAGGCTCAGGATTCCATCTATGCCATTGTGGGGTCACGTATGTATGTATACTACTACTATTTTCATTTTATTCATTTTAGAAGAAGAAATACAGTAGATTATAAATAGAAAACAATAATATGCATGCTTAATAGTAATTTGATCATTTAAACTGATTCTTTCTGTGTGTATTTAGATATATCGGATATCTGAATTCTCAGTTTTACACTTCATCACTGTATGTGATACAGAGTTTGAGGGAATTTATTCTCTGAGAGCAGAAGGCTTTGTATTAGAAGACAAACATTCATTTGGTCAAAAGCATAAACCAATTTAATGTTTTAGCTAAAACATTTTCATGTATTAATCAGAAATATCAGATATATAAATATAAAATGCTTAACCAATGAGGAGACATGGTATCAGTGCTGTGACTTAGGACAGCTATCAGTGAATAGACAGTCCTCAAATACAACTTTTCCAGTGTTCAGTACCTAATATAACAAAAGAGCTATCAAAGAACTATAGGTGCACCAAAGCCTTTGCCAAGTTAATATAGACTTGCTGCAGTTGTATGCCAAGTTTCAAAAGAATCTTAAGGATTTTTAACTATATAAATGAAAAGCTTTCAGTTGTCAATTTACAGATTCTTTCACTTAGGAATAAATATAAATGAAATAAGGTTACAATGATATATTTTTTATGAGACTGGCCCTCATGTTTCCCTATTGCCCAGAAAATTGAAATATAGCCAACGATGACACTGAGTTGCTAACCTTCCTGCCTTTACCTCCCCAGTGCTGAATTTAGAGGTGTGGCCTCCATGCCTAGTTCATGTGGTGCTGTGGAACGAACCCAAGATTCCCTACAAGTTAGACAAGCACTCTCTAATTGAGCTACATCCCCAAAGTAGGTTACAATAATATTTATATACTCCAGGTAGTACGCAATATCACAAATCTTAACCCCTATAAGATTTGAGCCAAATATTAATGATTATAGCTAACAGAGTGCTAATGTTTGACCTCTGTGTTAATTTAAGTGACTTGGGAGTATGTTTTAGGCTTTCTATTGCTGTGAAGAGACATTATGACCATGGCAACTCTTATAAAGGAAAAACATTTAATTGTGGTGGTTCACTTATAGTTCAAAGGTTTAGTCCATTATTATCATAGTACAATATGGTAGCATGCATGCAGGCAGGTGTCCTGCATCTTGACTTGCAGACAAAAGGAAGTGGTCTCAGACACTGTGATATCTTGAGCATATATGAAGCCTCAAAGCCTGCCTGCACAGTGACACACTTCCTCCAACAAAGCCATACCTACTCTACAGGGTCTCACCTTCTAATAG